TTTTTCTTTTCTCCTCAATCCAATACGCTAAGCGTCTGGAAATAATATAATGCAAAGGCACAGATCCCCGATCACAATCAGCAAGAATATAATAAACAACACAGAATAAAATAATACATATCATAATGAATATTCATCCCAGACATAATATTCGGGTCAACATGCCCTTATACAAAACTATCTGAATGAAATACTGGAGAATATAAATATATACTAAACGAAAGGAAATGAAAGTGCTACAAAACAAACTGAAAGGAATGACTAAGCTTTGGCTTCTTCTTCTGCTACGTCTGCAAGGCACTCCTGCTGCGAATCCTCTGGCTCCTGGCGAACCTGTTCTTCCTCTTAAGTCTGACGTACACCTATTTTCTCTGGTGTACGTCAGACTTAAGAGGAAGAACAGGTTCGCCAGGAGCCAGAGGATTCGCAGCAGGAGTGCCTTGCAGACGTAGCAGAAGAAGAAGCCAAAGCTTAGTCATTCCTTTCAATTTTTTTTGTAGCACTTTCATTTCCTTTCGTTTAGTATATATTTATATTCTTCAGTATTTCATTCAGATAGTTTTGTATAAGGGCATGTTGACCCGAATATTATGTCTGGGATGAATATTCATTGTGATATGTATTATTTTATTCTGTGTTGTTCATTATATTCTTGCTGATTGTGATCGGGGATCTGTGCCTTTGCATTGTATTATTTCCAGACGCTTAGCGTATTGGATTGAGGAGAAAAGGAAAAAAAAAGATAGTATATATTTCTTCTCAATCTAATACACCGCGGGCTTGTTCACGTTCCGATTCTCTGGTATTTTGGGAAGCGGGGCGTGACAAGTCCTGTCACCGTTAAGCTCTTCTTCTCAAAGACGACGACTTTTTGACTCCTCCAGTCATCTCTGGTATTACGTGATGGTTACATGTCTATTTCATGTTTAGGATTTCTTTAAATCATCCAATATGTACTTTTAGATTTCTTAGATTTTTCTTTAATTTTTCTTTTTTTAGTATTTATACATATCTAAATTAGTCCGCTATTTGATTTTGTGTTTTTACTGCTATTTTGTCGCAATAGCTCAGAATAACCTTAGCTATGCCTCACCGCTACATGACGTTATCCGCTATCGATAACCTTGTTAATGAGTATATAAGGTAATTTCTTAATTTAAATTAATTAATTATTTATTTTTAGTTATTAATATTTAATTATTTATTCATTTATAAATAAATCACATATTTAATTAAATCCTAATCAATAAAATTAAAACACTTAAATATGAATAATTAAAATGTAAGGGGATTTTTAAGGGGTAGGAGAACTTTCCCCTCCCTTAAAATCCACCTACTAGATTAAGGAACATTGGAGATGCTCTAAGGGCATCTCCAACTATATCCTCCAAATTTCACCCTCCAAATTAGAATATTCTAGGAATATTTCAATTTGGATGGTGAAATTTGGAGGGTTGCTCCAACCCACACTCTCCAAATGTTTTTTTTTTATTTTTTTTATCAAAAAAGCCATATAAATTAAATAATGTTGAATATAGTTTACGTTAATAATTTTATTGTTAATAATTTATTTGGGGAAAAAAATTATAACATTATAAAGGTGTCGATGAGAGCTTTAAAATGAACCTAATATTAATATTGTAATACAACATATTAAAAAAGAAGAAATTTTGAAATAACAGTGAAAGCATACATCGATAGAACAAGAAAGCAAATATTAACCTCTAATACAACATACCATAGGTCGCAAACATAAACCTCAAACATAAAATATGATAAGAGACAATTAAAATTCTGGCAGGTCATTATCGTTATAACTACCGGTTCTATCCCGATCTCTCGAAGAACCACCATATTCATTTCTTCCTACAGAACCAGCTTCTCCCGCAAATTGAGAAAATCCTCCTTGATTTTCAGTAGGAAAGTCATATTCGTTTTGTCCTCCTACAGCTCCTCTAAGAAGATCAAAAAATCCTCTTGGCCCTCTGGAGGAAAATCCATATTCCTTTCTATTCATAATTTTCCTTTTTTGTTGATAGTAAGCACGTTCACTTTGATCAACGATCTTACTGAGATCAGTCAATATAATTTGTCTATCCTCACTTTCACGCTGAAGAGGTAATTGTTGGTCACATTGTTCTACTTCTCTAGCTTGTAATTCTAATTTTATCTTTTTATTTTCAAGTTTCATTATCATCAATCGCTCCATTTTTTCCCTGCTCATTTCACGTTTAGCATCCATCTCTTGCATACTCTTAATAATTCCCTCCTCATAACTAAACTCCGCCGAAATTTTTCTCTTTGCCTTCTCTTTCTTTCTTCCAACAGGGCGACTTGCTGGGCTGTCCGTGGAAGACAGGCCATCACTCATGTTAACAAAACTTTCCCTCTCCGTGTTCGACTCTGATCCTTCAGAGATGCTCCCAACTGCATGATTGGATTTAGGGTCAGCCCATTTCTCGGCATCCTTGAGGATCGTCCAAACATGATCGAATTGAAATCCTTTCTTTTCTTTAACATCTTCTCCATACATGAATCTAGCTTGAGTCAACTAAAAAAATTACAAACAAAAAATATTAGACAGTTAAAAATGATATTATAAAATCCATAGTAAAAATATATACTTACTATATCGATTTCAGAAGCTCCGCTTGGATCCAGTCGCTCGATTTGTCAAACACAACCCTGAAATTTGTTTGCTGCCTTCTTAATTGCGTCCATACCACATTCCAGAGACTTTGGTGTCCGTTGTCTATCACCTACCTTTTTCATGGAAGACTACTGTGATCCTTTCCCACATCTTATCTTTCTTTTGACATGTGCCTGAGACTGGGTCTTGAGAAATTTCAAGCCATGCCAAGCACAAGAACTAATCTTCTTGGTTACTAAATGATTTTCCTCGAACAGATGTCATAGTGGATGAAGAAAGATTGGTGGAAAAAAGTATGAGATAAGCTACCATTATTTATAATACAAGTCTCCTGACGAGCACAAGTGATGGTGGGAATCTGGTGATTGCAAGAAGACAAGCACGAGACTCGATATTGACATGACTGGACATGGCTCTTGGAAACATCACCCGACGAGAGGTGATGGTAGGAATCTTTCACAACTCTTTAAATATATGAACTCTAAATACAAAACTCAATATATCACAACTCTTTTTTCTTCATACAATAAAATATGAGCTTTAGAGAAGGGTCATCTTGGAACCACTCTTCTTCTTCCACCGATGGAGAGACCCTCGATCTTTGCTTTCAAGACTAGGAGAATGAACTGGCTGAGCAGGAGGAGCGAGATGAAGTCTTGAAGAAAATATTGGCTCGTCGTCTTCAAGAGAGCAGAGAACGAAAACGTAAAGGATCGATTCCTGGTCATGTGGTGATCAATCGAGGAAGAGAAGAAGGTAACTCTCGACTTTGGCATGATTATTTTTCTGAGAAACCCACATATGGGGATGCTCTTTTTCGCAGAAGGTTTCGATGTCGACGAGATCTATTCCTTCGCATTGTCAACGGAGTAAAAGAACACGACAACTACTTTGTGTAGAAGAGAGATGGTCTTGGTGTATTAGGATTATCGACTTTACAAAAAGTAATAGCATCGCACCGCATGTTAGCGTACGGAACTTCGGCGGATAGTACCGACGAATATATTAGGATTGGTGAGTCAATCGTAATCCAATGCTTGAAGAGGTTTTGTCGGGCAGTTATATAGGTGTTTGGAAATGAATATTTAAGGTATCCCACTACGAGTGACATTGCACGGTTGCTAAGGAAAGGAGAAGAGCGCGGATTTCCGGGAATGTTGGGCAGTTTATACTGCATGCACTGGAAATGGAAAAATTGTCCAACGGCTTGGGCGGGACAGTACTCGGGACGTCACGGAGGCCCAACAATGATTCTAGAGGCAGTAGCCTCATATGACTTATGGATATGGCATGCTTTTTTTGGATTACCAGGATCTAACAATGATATTAACGTATTGCAATCTTCAAATTTGTTTGACCAACTAGCACAAGGTATTTCTCCTCCTGCTAATTATAGTATTTTAGGAAAGAATTATGATACAGGTTACTACTTGGTCGATGGGATATACCCCAAATGGTCTACTCTTGTACAAACAATATCTCAACCACAAGGGCCTAAGAGGCAGCTCTTTGCTGCTATGCAAGAAGGATATCGAAAAGATGTAGAGCGGGCTTTTGGTGTTCTTCAGTCACGATTTTCCATTATCAAGGGACCATCACGTTTTTGGGACAAGCAGAGACTACACGACATAATGACTGCTTGTATTATACTACATAACATGACTGTGGAGGATGAACGCGATGCAGACATAATGACTGCTTGTATTATACTACATAACATGACTGTGGAGGATGAACGCGATGCAGAACCAGAGATTATTGTTCATGACGGTGGAGGATGAACGCGATGCAGAACCAGAGATTATTGTTCATGACGAAATTTCAAGACCTGAAGAGATATATATTGATGATGCCGAACGATTCCAACGATTCCTTGATCGACATAGGAAGATTCAAGATAGAGAAGCTTATTTTATGCTTCGAAACGCACTAATTGAACATTTATGGCAGAAGCACGGCAACGAATGAATGTAATTAAAATATTATAATTTATGCTTGTATTTTCTTATGGAGCAAGTTAAATAGATCACCGTATTTAAAATTTCATGTCTGATACTTATTTATTTAATTTAAAAATTAATAATTTTATAATAATACTAAAATAAATTAATCTTAGTTTTATTTTAAAGATCTCAACGAGCTCTTTCCAAATATATAATGATTTTAAATATTAGACTAATAATTTTTTAACTATATTTATTTAAAATTAAACATCTAAGTTAAATTACTAAGAAGGATGACAAAATGGTAATTTTTAAGAAATCAAATAGTTAAAAATAGTAAAATTGTAATTAATAAATCATGAATAGTATTATGGAGAGACACTCCATTTTTTCTCCTCACCCTCAAATTTAGAGATCTCCAAATCTCTAAATTTGGAGAGTAGTTGGAGAGGTTCCGCTCTCTAAATTTGGAGATTTTGGTGATACGGACGGCGGTTGGAGATGCTCTCAAAGAAAAAGCCAAACCCATTTCTCAATCATTGCCTCGTCAGCGATAAATCTGTCGCCTTCCTCATTATCTATCTTTGCTTCATTGCATGCGAGCCATCATCTGTTTTCTTGAATCATTCCTTCATCCCTCATAAATCATTGTCTTAAACCTCTGATTCTTCGGGTGCAACCAAATTTTTGTTCCAATTTCAATAATGGAGGGTACAGTTCGCAGCTCCGCCAACTACGTCCCCTTGACTCCCCTCAGCTTCATCCAACGGTCCGCCGTCGTCTACGCCGATCGCCCCTCCGTGATCTACGGCTCTCGTACGTACACGTGGAGGGAGACCCATCAGCGATGCCTCCGCCTCGCTTCTGCTCTCACCCATCTGGGGATTTCTCGCCGCGACGTTGTAAGATTTTTTAGGGTGCTGAGTTTTTTTTTTGAACTTATTATTTGGGGTTGTTGTGTTTGGAATTGCGATCTTGGTGGTTAATTCTTTGATTGATCTATACTCTAATTTTCTAGAAACCCCTTCATCTAAAAAGTTCGATACTTGAATAAAAAATAAAATAATAAAATAAATAAATAGATAAAAAGTTCGATAAAACCCCCCTTATCTATGATCATTAATGAATTTTTGGCTTGGAAACTGATCATTATGGGCTTAATGTCACTTAGATACCCCATAGTTTCCCTACTTTGCACTTGTACGTCCTCAGTTGTTTTTGGGAGCACTTATATACCCTAAAGGTTTTAAAATTTGCACTTTAATACTCTCAGCTGGGCACTTATATAAGGCTAGTTAGCACTTATATACCTTACAGTTTCCCCTACTTCACACTTGTATACCCTCACTTGTTTTTGGTAGCACTTGTGTACCCTCAAGTTTTTAAAATTGGATGTTTAATACATTCGGTTATGCAAACGTGGGAATATTCCCCTAAAATTTCCTATGTGACATTCACATGTAATTGTAGAACCTTTTAATACTTAATATTTATATCTATTGAATATATTGTTTAACCTATCCTAAATCTATTCTAAAATAAAATTGGGATATGTTAAAATCTGGGCGATGTGTTCTTTAAGAAAAACACCACAAAAAGCTCATTATGATATCCAGACACACCGGTAGTAATTATGCTAAACAAGTGTCGGTCAAGAAGACTTGGAAGAATTTTCATCATCATTTGGCAAGAAGGTGGTCAAAGACTAATTAGTCATACGTGACCCTCTTCTTTGCTATTTACAATCCTCTTCTAATTAACTAGAGACAATCCCCCATTAGTTTCTTGCTTTCCATTCCCAAAGAAAGATCTTTTGATGTGGCAGTCTACTTGAAAGCTCAAACAGGTATATGGTAGAACGTCAAGTAAAGTGCATATTGTGGACATAGTATATAAATAATAATTTATAAGTGTCTACTGTTTGGCACTTGATTATATTCATACATTTTGGTAATTCTTTTTCATATCCATGTAATTTTATGCGCATTCACGAAAGTATGATAATTTTGATTAATTAATAGTTATTGATATTATTCAATATTTTTTAAGGAAAATTAAATTTCAAGATGGTTTATTTCATAGAACTTCCTAATATGCAACTAAATTGAGTAGAGAAGCATTCACCAATTCAAATAGAAAGGGATGTAATAGTTCCCTCCTCAGTTGAGCTACTCCACCTACCTAGCCCTCCAAACAATTCCACTATTTCAATACTTCCCCAAAATCCCAAATATGTAAGCTGCGAGCCGTCCAACCCAGGAAGCTGGCTTTTCAACACTTTTTTTGAACTTATTTCCAAAGCAACCATGGTACCCCTCTTCACACTGGAGAGTATAATGACATGGCCAATACACCAAGAAGTTATGTTCTCTTTGAAGTTCGAATTATGTTTGAGAACAAATAGGCAGCTCAACAAACCTCACCCAGATTAGGATTTTAGGTATCTAATAACTTTGTTGATCAATAAGTTAGCAAACAACTGCCGCACTTGAGATAAGTATAAGGTTCAAGTTGAGATGGAACACTTTTGTAGCTTAGGAATCTGTCGCAGAATGTTTGACCATCTCTTGGGGTTAATTTGAAAGTCAAGTGATAAAAGAGAGATCAAAATTGTTAGTTAATTTCTCTTACTGGGGGGTCGATTCCGACTCAAGCTGATTTGGTCGGAGCACTCATAAATGTGGGCCATAGATTAAATCCGCAAAATTCCACAATCTAGATCTCGCTATGTAAGTCTATCATTGAATAGGAGAAGCGACATATTCTTCATTTTGATTAGAGTCATCAGCCAAGTAACAATTCATCATTTCTTCTACCTTTCCCTTGCCTCCCAATTCATCTTCTTAACAGAAAAATTCATTCATCAAACAATACGTGGAGGGAGACCCATCAGCGATGCCTCCGCCTTGCTTCTGCTCTCGTCCATCTGGGGATTTCTCGCCGCAATGTTGTAAGAATTATTTAGGGTGTTGAGTTATTCTTATTTTTATTATTATTGAACTTATTATTTGGGGTTGTTGTGTTTAGAATTGCGATCTTGGTGGTTAATTCTTTGATTGGTCTATACTCTAATTTTCTAGAAACCCCTTAATCTAAAAAGTTCGATACTTTGAATAAAAAATTAAAAAATAAGAAAAAAATTTTAAAAATATAAATAAATAAATAAAAAGTTTGATAAAATCCCCCTTATCTATGATCATTAATGAATTTTTGGTTTCGAAACTGATGATTATGGGCTTAATTTCACTTACACACCCTATAGTTTCGCTACTTTTCACTTATATTCCCACAATTGTTTTTGGAAGCACTTATATGCCCTAAAGTTTTTAAAATTTGCACTTTAATATTCTCAGTTATACAAATATGAGAACTTCCCNCTCACATGGTGATTTTAGAGTATGTTAACCCTTTATACTTGTTAAATTTACTGTTAAGCCTATCAAAATTCAAATTTTAAATTGAATTATGGTAGATTTAAAATAGAATTGTTGTGGGTTTGACGGTGAATTTAATAAAATTAAGGTTAAAAAGTACTAACATTAGCATGTAATGTAAGTGTCGCATGACAATTTTCGGGTTGGGAGGGTGGGGGGATTCTTGCATTTGCCTAATTGAGGGTATTTAAGTACAAATCTGAAAAAACTTTACGTTATATGAACTGCTGCCCAAAACAAGTGAGGATATATAAGTGCAATTAAGTCTTAATTCTGTAATGGCGTTTGTTCGTTAAATACATGAGTAAACGTCTTGAGGCACAAACACTTTAAATTCACACATGTTTGAAGAACCAAACTCCAATATAAAATTATTCGTTTCATTAATGTTCATATATTAGGGGTTTTTTGCTGAACTTTTTACATCAGAGGGTTTCTTGAGAAGAAAGGTAGGTATGAAAAGGTTCTTTTTTTTCCTGTAATTTAAGGGTAAATTGTAGATAATGTTCTCTTCAAGTGGCATTTTCAGAAGGCTAGTTAGTGCGTAAATACCTTAATTTCCCCTACTTCACACTTATTTACCCTCACTCGTTTTTGGTAGCACTTGTATGCCCAGAAATTTTTTAAATTGGATGTTTAATACATTTGGTTATGCAAACGTGAGAATATAATGAATATTCTCCTAAAATTTCCTATGTGACATTCACATGTAATTGCAGAACCTTTTAATCCTTATATTTATATCTATTGAATATATTGTTTAACCTATCCTAATTCTATTCTAAAATAGAATTAGGATATGTTTAAAATAAAATCTGGGCATTGTGTTCTTTAAGAAAAACACAACAAAAAACTCATTATGATATCCAGACACCAGTAGTAATTATACTGAGCAAGTGTTGGTCAAAAATACTTGGAAAATTGGAACAATTTTCACCATCATTTGGCAAGAAGGTGGTCGAAGACTAATTAGTCATACGTGACCCTCTTCTTTGCTATTACATTCCTCTTCTAATTGACTAGAGAAAATCCCCCATTAGTTTCTTGCTTTCCATTCCCAAAGAAAGATCTTTTGATGTGGCAATCTGCTTGAAAACTCAAACTCAAACAGGTAAATGGTAGAACGTCAAGTAAAGCGCATATTGTGGACATAGTATATAAATAATAATCTATAAAAGTCTACTGTTTGGCACTTGATTATATTCATGCATTTTGGTAATTCTTTTTCATATTCATGTAATGTTATGTGCATTCATGAAAGTATGATAATTTTGATTAATTAATAGTTATTTATATTATTCAATATTTTTTAAGGAAAATTAAATTTCAAGATGGTTTATTTCATAGAACTTCCTAATATGCAACTAAATTGAGTAGAGAAGGATTCACCAATGCAAATAGAGAGGAATGTAATAGTTCCCTCCTCAGTTGAGCTACGTCCACCTACCTAGTCCTCCAAACAATTCCACTATGTCAATACTTTCCCAGAATCCTAAATATGTAAACTGCGAGCCGTCCAACCCATGAAGCTGGCTTTTCAACACTTTTTTGGAGCTTATTTCCAAAGCAAACATGGTATCCCTCTTCACACTGAAGAGTATGTGACATGGTCAATACACCAAGAAGTTATGTTCTCTTTGAAGTTCGAATTATGTTTGAGAACTGTTATAACCATTTTAGTGATGGAAAATAATCACCAATCGATGGCAGATAAGTGTCCCACATTATGTATAATCAGGTCAGCATCTCAAGATAATCAGAGGCCCAGCTCGGCCGACTCGACACGTTGACATACTGCAAGGACAACTCGAAAGACGTCACATGTCGACGACCCAAAAGCCGTTATGTGTCATCTCCTGGCTGAGTCAACTACTTAAACACTCCATTCGGCCAACTCATTGGTCGACACCTTGTGAGGGCGACTCCGGTACTTCTTGACCATCCAACGAGTAGAAAGGTGACGAAACGCCTCGAGCCCCTCCTGTGCATTGATGACCAATCACCTCGCCATAAATACCATTAAATGCATTATAGGCGGTATGATTCATCTGTCTCCAATAGTAATTATGATATATCGGACCACGTCGGCACTGCACACGCCACATCACTTCGTATTAAACACCGAAGTGAACTCTTCTCTACTCCTCGACCGATACATGTAAAGGTGAAGCTGAATTAGCCGCCAGCCCATGCCCGGCCGAAGTTACCATCCTACTCTTCATCCACTACTATAAAAAGTGATACTATTTTCCATTACAGGGTAAGCTTTTTCAATCATTCTTTGAACATAAGAACTACTGCGATTCCTTTTACTTCTCCACACAAGCACCTCACTGACTTGATCGTCGGAGGACAACTAGAGAATCACACTCCGCCCTCTTACGATTTGTTACTTGTGCAGGGAAGCACAACTTGCCAAAGAACCAGACATTCAGAGAGTTAGAGGACCCTCGTCAACTTAATCTACTTTCATTTGACTATGTGATTCCATACATCATCAAGAACAAATAGGCAGCTCAACAAACCTCACCCTGTCTAATAACTTTGTTGATCAATAAGTTAGCAAACAACTGCGGCACTTGAGATAAGTATAAGGTTCAAGTTGAGATGGAACACTTTTGTAGCTTAGGAATCTGTCGCAGAAAGTTTGACCATCTCTTGGGGTTAAATTGAAAGTCAAGTGATAAAAAAGAGATCAAGAATTGTAAGTTAATTTCTCTTACTGGGGGGTCGATCCCGATTCAAGGTGATTTGCTCGGAGCACTCATAAATGTGGGACATAGATTAAATATGCGATACTCCACAACCTAGAGCTCGCTATGCAAGTCTATCATTGAACAGGAGAAGTGACATATTCTTCGTCTTGATTAGAGTCAACAACCAAGTAACAATTCATCCCTTCTTCTACCTTACACTTGCCTCCCGATTCATCTTCTTACCAGAAAAATTCATCCATCAAACAAGTGTCCCAGAGACTATGCGTGCGTGTGTGTGCGTGTGCGTTTTTGTGTGTGAGCAATCCATCATAAAATCGCCATCTTCTGCTGTTTGGAAGCATAGCTAACAACTTCAGGATTTTAATTGTTCATAATCTACATTATCAGAATCGTATATATCCACGTTTTCTAAATGAACCCCCTATCGTGATGGGAGACCATCATTTATTAACTGATAAATGGCCCTTAATAGAGCTTACTTGCAAGTTGCTAGAGTTATTTGTGTGTTGAATTGATCTTTTTCTGAGAATGAGAGCGGCATTCTTTGAGAATGCTATGACGCTATAAAGTGGACATTAAAGCTTTCTTTCTTACGGTATGTTTTCAATTTTTGATGCATCCATGCTTCCCTACTTTTAATATGATCCTTTCCTTACAATTCACCATTGTACCATTTTACAGTAAACACACAGTGATCTCTATTCAACGCTTGATTTTATAACTCCAAGCTATTTGGTTTTGTTGAATCAGGTAGCTGTACTTGCTCCTAACATCCCGGCAACATACGAACTCCACTTCGCTGTGCCAATGACTGGTGCAGTTCTGTGCACTCTCAACATCCGACACGACTCTGCCATGGTGTCCATCCTATTGAGGCACTCTCGAGCCAAGGTCCTCTTTGTAGACCACCAGCTTCTTGAAATAGCCCAAGGAGCACTCAAACTTCTCTCGCAATCCAGCACCAGCCTGAACCCTATTCTGGTCACAATCTCAGAACCCGGATCACCAAATTCTTCTACTAATCTAGACTATGAACATATTATAATGACGTCTGACCCACATTTCAATGTCAAATGGCCTTCCGATGAATGTGAACCGATATCCTTAAACTATACCTCGGGCACAACTTCTAAACCTAAAGGTGTAGTCTATAGTCACCGAGGAGCTTACCTGAATTCCATTGCTACAGTCCTCTTGAGCAATATTACCACAATGCCAGTGTACCTGTGGACTGTCCCGATGTTCCACTGCAACGGCTGGTGCCTAGCTTGGGGGATTGCAGCTCAAGGCGGGACAAACATCTGCGTCCGAAACGCCACAGCCAAGGTCATTTTTGACTGCATCGCCCTCCACAAGGTCACAAACATGGGCGGTGCACCTACAGTTCTCAACTCCATCGTGAATTCTCCATCTCGAGACCGAAAACCACTTCCCCATAGAGTATCTGTGATTACCGGCGGGGCACCTCCACCGGCCAAAGTTCTATTCAAGATGGAGGAGCTAGGGTTTAATGTCACCCACTCGTACGGACTCACTGAGACCTATGGCCCGGCTACGGTTTGTACATGGAAACCAGAGTGGGACTCTCTACCTGCTGAGGATAAGGCTAGGGTTAACTCTCGTCAGGGGTTGCATCATATTGGTATAGAGGTAGATATCAAGGATCCCATAACCATGAAGAGTGTTCCAAACGATGGGAAGACTATGGGTGAAGTTATGTTTAGAGGAAATACCGTTATGAGTGGTTATTTTAAAGATAGGGGGGCAACCGATGAAGCTCTGGCTGGTGGGTGGTTTCGGACCGGTGATCTAGGAGTTAGACATGATGATGGTTATATACAACTGAAGGATCGGTCGAAGGACATTATAATTTCTGGAGGGGAGAATATAAGCACGATAGAGGTCGAGTCAGTGATTTTTGGGCATCCGGGTGTGCTTGAGGCTGCGGTGGTTGGGAGACCCGACGAGCATTGGGGGGAGACATCTTGTGCTTTTGTGAAGCTGAAAGAGGGGTGGAAGGTAAGTGAGGAGGAGATTATGAAGTATTGTCGGGATCGGTTGCCTCATTATATGGCGCCAAAGACTGTTGTTTTTGAGGAGATTCCGAAGACCTCGACAGGGAAAGTGCAGAAGTTTGTTCTGAGGGAGAAGGTGAAGGCTATGGAAAGCATGTCTAGGGTGAAAAGGAGCAGGCTTTGATGGTTGCCTCAAGGTCAGAGGAGGATTCAGACGTAAGATTCTTAAGTTGTAAATCACCCAAGAGAAAGTGAAAGTAAACCTCTTCAGAACACCCCACATTCGAGCAGGACGTTCTGAGTCATTCAATATGTCAGTCCAAATCTTCAAAATGTTCAGCTCACTGTTTGTGTATGTGAATTTAGTTAAGAATGGATGATGTTCTCTTGGGTTAATTGCGGATAGGCCCTCTGTACTATCGTCATATTTAACTCACTGTTAGAATTAATTCAAAACTAAAAACCTTCAACTCTCATCACAACTTCGGAGTTTTGGTGTAATTGTGATAAGATTTGAGGGTTATGGTTTTATATTAATTTTAACATGCCCTCGCAGATTGAGAGCCCTTTTATGGGCTGAAACTTGGACTCACGTAACGGTGTTAATTTTTAGACAATTCATTTTTAATTTGTGGTCGGTGGGATTTGAACTTGGGTTGCACTGATGTCATTTTAAGTCTTTAAATATTACACAAAAACTTCAAAGTTGTAGTGGGAGTTGAGGGTTATAGTTTTATATTAATTTTAACAGTCATTGTTGTAGTTATATTGTTGTAGATAGGTCCTATGACTGAAATCTATTGTTGCAGATGCATGCCCCAGAAAAGGATCTAAAAACTTGCAGTCAGGGGTTCCATCTGCAATAAAGCAATAATAAAATTACAGGATACTAACTTACTAAGTTCAGTTTAGCAATAGTAGAAGGGGTTTATATGCCATTGACCTATATTCTTTGCGTAAGTTTTGATATTGGCATCTCTGTCTGGTTCTGGTTCTAGTGGAAGGAAGAAAGAACCCAATATTACTTATGCGCGAGGCAACTAGTCCCTTAAATTTTTAATAATTTGATAATTTAATTTTTTTGAGAAAAAGGATGGAATATCACAAAGGTATTCTAACTAGCTAAATTAACATAACTGGCTGTTACATATAAAGCACATACTCCCAACCAAGAGTATGTACTATAGTTCAAAACAAAAGACTACATATTGGTAGCAACAACACTTCTGCACATAACACTAGATATAACTCCTTAAAAGAGTAAAAAGACTTATCAACTATTACTGCATATAACCCAAAAGAGTAAAAAGACTTATAGTCTAAAATTGTTTTTCTCCAAAACAGACACAAAGCACGCAAAACTCTGTGAATGATCTTCATTCCAAATGTATCACATTGCCCACAAGATTCCTGTCTTCAATTCCAGCATCTTGCATCCTCTCAGCAGCTCTTTTTTTTTTCTTTTTTACAACCTAGTAGCTCGAGCAGACACACCCTTAGAACCTAGCCAAAAGGTTGAGTAAGTCATAATTTTGTTCAAAAGAACAAGAGATCTCTTCCGCTTGTTAGAAAATAATCTATCATTACGTTCCTGCCACACACACCAAATAAGTGAGCAAATGAAAACATCTCGCTTCAATTTGGAATTCGCATCACGACCAATATTCCAATTTAACTATAAATCTATTAAGGAATCCAATCTAAAATCACTATCTGTATTCAATTTGAATTGAATTGATCTCCATATTGAGTATACAAACTTACATTTAAGAAACAAGTGTGTATGATTTTCATCTAGCTTAGAACATAAACAACAAATCATCTCTATATGTATTCCTTTTTTCTCCAGATCATCCGTTGTATTCAACCCATGTCTTAGAGCCAACAAGACTAGGAATTTAACTTTTAAAGGAATAGGAAGATCCTATAAACTTGCACAATCATATCTTAATCCTCCATCAATAAGTAATTGATAAAAGAATTTTAACAGTAAAAACATTCTTTGCCTCCCACACCCATTTTCTTTTATCCTCCTATTGCTCAATACTAACTGAATTGAGAAAATTCATCATATTAAAGTATTGAGAAACCAAATTACCAGTCAATTGTCTTCTAAACTGCACCTCGCAACTCCACAAATTATTTTCTTTCTTCCTCAAACTACTAATGAAGGCATAAGGTGATGAAGTGACAGAAAACAGAGATGGAAATAAAGAAGCAAGAGTAAATGAGCCTAACCATTTATCAAGCCAGAATAAAATATGATTTCTATTTCCCACATCCACTTGAGCACTGCATAAAAAACTGTGAATATTACCAAAAAAGTTTCTCCAAAAATGTGAAAGATTCAATCTTCCAGATTGTAAATATTCAGTCCAAGGTTTTCTTTCAAAATATTTATGAAAACTAATTTGTTTCCAAAGATCAGGTTTTCCATCAAACCATTTCCAAAGCCACTTCCCCAAAAATGCTTTATTCACAATCTTCAAAATTTTAATCCCCAAACCACTTCCCCAAAAGTGCTTTACTCACAATCTTCAAATTTTTAATTCCCAAACCACCATAGTGTTTATGTCTACAAATTTCATCCCATTTAACCAAATTTGAACTCCCTTTATGATCCAAAGATCCAATCCATAAAAATATTCTTCTCATTTTATCAAAATTTTCATGACCCATGAAGGAAATAGTAAGAAGGATAGCCAGAAAACTGGCATAGAGGAAAGGACAGAGTTAACTAAAACCAATCAACTCCTCTTAATAAAGATTTACCTTTCTATAAGGCTAATCTCTTCTCTATTTTCTCAAACAAAGGAAACCAATCATCTTTCTTCAGGCTTCCATGCCTTAAGGCACCCCAAGATAGGTTATGGAAAAATTACCACTATTACAATTCATCATAATGGCCAAATTTTGTTGTAGAGATTCATTATCTTCAAGAGCAATAAGAACACTCTTATTAAAACTTATTTTTAATCCAAAAGCAAGCTCAAAACAATATAAAATCAGCTTCAAAACTGTCAATTGCTCCCTATTATTTTTTGCAATAGATCAAGGTATCATCTGCATATTGCAGACAATATACTTTGTGTCTCATATTATTAGGGCCTAATCCTTCAATAAGGTGAGAATCAACTGCTAGAGTTAACATTCTAGTAAAGAAATCTGCTACCAAAATAAAAAGAAGGGGTGATAAAATGTCTCCTTGACGAACACCTCTTTTAGACATAATTCAACTTCCTAGTTTACCATTTATATTAATGGTAGACAAACCTCCTTTTAAACACAATTTCACCCAATTTATCCATTTATCGCCAAACCTTTTAGCTTTCAGAACATCTAGAATAAAATTCCAGTCAAGCATATCGTAAGCTTTCACAAAATCTAATTTTAATTAGATCCCTTCCCTTTTACTATTCTGAAAACAATCATTTATAATCTCTTGGGCTGCAACCACTCCATCAAGCATGAATCTATTCTTAATAAAACCATACTGCATAGGACCTATAAGCAACTCAAGCTTAGAATTCAGCATATTAGTCAAAACTTTAGTGATTATCTTATAAATCACATTGAGCAAGCTGATAGGTCTGTAATCATTAACTGTAATAGACTCATTCTTTTTTGGAATAAGAACAATATGAGCATAATTAAGCCTATTGATTTCTAATCTATCATAAAATTCCTCAAACAATTTCATAATATCACCTCTCACAGTTTCCCAAAACACTTGAAAGAATAAAGCAGGGAAGCCATCAGGACCAGGGAATTTAGCCTCATTCATATTAAAAATAGCTTTATGAACTTCCTCCACAGAAAATAGATGTTCAATATCGCTGGAACCCCAATTAACCAAAGAGAATAAACAATTCCAATCAAGCTGACATCTGTAAGAGACGTTTTGTCCAAAAATCTAGTTGTAATGGTTTAAAAAAACCAGAGACATACCATCCTCAAAATTATTTCAACATCATTATGTGTAATTGAAGAAATCAAGTTACTTCTCTTCCTTCCATTGGCAATTTTATGAAAATATGTAGTGTTGTAATCTCCCTCTTTGAGCCAATGAGCTTTAGCTCTTTGTTTCCACATTTGTTCCTCTTGAAATAAAATCTCATTCAACTAGATAGTAATATCATTTTTTTGAACCATCTCATCATCTATCAAATCTCTACTCTCTTCTATAACTTCCCAATTTAAGAGATTGTCCAATAAATCTTTTTTTTTGTTTGACACTAAGAAAATTGGAATGAACCCATTGTTTTATACATTTCCTCATAAATCTTAGCTTACCAACAATATTTTTAGCAGCAGAATCACTTGAAGGAGCACAACTCCACCACAAAGGAATACTTTTTGTAAACTCTTCAGTTTGCAACCAAAGTTTTTCAAATCTAAACATTTTAACATATTGTTGATTATCCCCACAATCAAAGCTTATAGGAGCATGATCTGATAATTGACTACTGAGGCCTTATTGTTTGGAAAAGGGATAAAAGTCTTTCCAATCAGAGTTGAAAAAAACTCTATCAAACCTAGCCATAGAAGGAGATCTTCTCTTATTTGACCAAGTAAAATTTCTTCCATGAAGAGGGCTATCAATTAGTTCCAATTCACTGATCACTTCATTAAACTTTTCTATTTCTTTCCTATGGTTGTTTTTACCCTTTCTTTCATTAGGATTAGAAGTAATAATAAAATATCCAACCACAACCCAAGGACCTGAAATGCTGCTTTTAACATCCTTGAGTTCTTGCCAAAAAAGCAATATCTCTCTATTACAATGAGGACTATATACTGATGAAACAGTCCAAACAAAATCATTTTTTTTATTTTGTAATACCACAAACAAAACATATTTACCAGATATTTCTTGCATCCTCTTCCATTTATGACTATTCCACCCAATCATAATTCCACTAGAAGCACCATCAGAGGGTACAAAAACCCAATCAAACACATTACCACCCAAACTTTTTTAAATGTTGTTAGTAAAACAAGTCAACTTAGTTTCTTGTAAGCAGATAATCTCAAATTTATCCAATTGATTGAAATCTTTAACACCAAATCTTTTTGTATTCAGTCCCAAACCTCTGATATTCCATGTAATCAACTTTTTAATAATAACAGAACTCCTCAATGAAAAGTAACTCAGAGTCTACTCAGAAGTAGCTCTCTCTTGCTCCATTTGCCTCACTTTTTTTAGAGGATCAAAATCCCTTTGAGGCTCAAGAATAATAGCACATTTAGAAGCATAACTCTGCAATTGATTATTAGTGCAAGTATCAAACAAAATAGGAACAAAAGAAGAACCTAAAAAGGAAGAAGTTTCACCTGAATCACTAGTAGAGACTCCAGAAGTAGTTTTTTCAGCATTTTTTGCAACTCTTGAAGTAGCTCTAGCTAAAGCAATCATGGGTTCAAGATCAAAAAATCTGGAACATCTCCTGATAAATGTAACTTTTGAATTAAAATTTGGATCAGCACGAGGCAATGAATTCAAAGGTTGGATCATAGGAATATCTTCCTCTTTCTCTGAGCTACCCTCAATGTTAGATGGAACTAGAAAAGATAGCCATTTCTTAACATCATTGCTTTCATTTATCATAAAATATTTGCCTTTGGACCCATCAATTATAATAGGCTCTTCTCCTATTTCCAGATCTGAGATTTGTTCTCCCTAGTAACAGTAGACAAAGGGATATTAATATCCATCTCAGCATTATCTTCTATGTCTATCAAATGTTCAAATAATCCTTCATTTTCAGCTACCATCACCTACTCTGGAAACTGTTCATCACATTTATATTTTGAAGAATTTTCAACCCAAGGTTCTAACTCAGATTTTTGTTTCTGATAAAAATTCTTAGCATCTATCCAAAGCTTAGCAGCTGGAGATCCCCATGGATTACTCCTCAAGTCTTGTCTAACAGTCCAAGAGTTAGTATCAGAATTATTCACAGATGAAGAACCAATCCCACTATCTTTTCTTCCCTTAGACCATTTATCATGATATGAACTCTGGTTAATATCCTCCAACTGATCAACTTTCTATTTTTTTTCCTTTCCCCTTAAGTAATTTCTCCCATAATAGACATGATAGAAACATCTACATTATATTGATTCTTTCCAACAAAAATCTTCAAAACTTTAGGAATATCAATATATTCCAAAAATCTAACTAACATCACAGCATCCACAAATTCAGTACATGCACTTGTTAGAGAATCAAACTCAACTAAATCAGTAAAAGGCTTCACCATCAATTCAAAAGACTCCTTATTCTACAAGTAAGGAGGAACATTTTTCAGTTTAATCCACACACAAGCATTTCTTTTTTCAATTACATTTCCTTCCCAAGCACTCCATCTTCTAAGCTTAATCTTGCAAGGTCTCAGAGTTATAACTCCCATTCTGATTAAATCTCCCATTTGTTTCCAAGGTTGAATTTTAACCAAAACTTCACCATTAGTAAACAACCTCACATCCCAATGTTTATTCATAGGAAAATAAGCTCTCAAATCCAACTCTAATCTTTCTAAAGAAATATTACCACATTCTACAAAAGAAATAATGGCAAAATTTCTGAATTTTTGAAAATTAGAATTCACCTCTCCCTTAAAATGAAGCACAACAGAAGAAAAACGAGGATGATCACCTGAGATCTTCAACTCACTCGGTCCTTGATCTTGAAATTGAAGAACATAATCTTGCAATTTGTCTTCATCAACTGAAGATAAAGGTCTTTTGCCTTTATCTTGTTGAAGATTCTCAGAAGATCGATCTTGATTTCTTGATGAGGAGAAAGCTGAGGCCGTTCTTTCTCGACGCCATTGCAGAGGATTGGGACGATCAGATCCCCCATTTCGGCAAGAGTTTTGCCCAAAACGACCTCCAAAATAACTACGACCTCCAGTACTACGACCACCAGTACATATATATCTCTGTGAGTGTATGTGTCTGCGTGTATCCTACACACAATGATAGAAATATATATATGTATACATCTAAGCGCACGCGCGCGCGCGCGCGCACACACACACACACACACACACACACATATAAGCACACACACACACACACACACATACATATCTCTCTCTCTGTGTGTATGTGTGTGACGCCTCTGTTTTCACACATGACTGCAGTTCAAAGTAAACCCAGAGATGTCAAACTTGCCATGCACCGACACCGTGCAATAACACGTTTCACCAATCACAGTAATATCCTCTAGTGAAATTAAATATAAGTGTAGATATAAAATAGGCAAAATAAGGAAATAAAAATAATAGACATGATATAGAAAGAGATATCTCATAAATGAAAATCATGTATCAACTAAAATACATCTGATATCTGGAATAATGAAAGTGTTAACATGAATCAACTAAAAATCGTACGGAGGCACACTACCTTTATAATATGAAAACAAAACTTTAATATCTGAATGATAACATAAAACTATAGTGGAGTCTCAGCTACTAAAATGTGCGACGGCGACTATACTAGAACTCCGTCATCATACGGCTCACCGGAACTCTGAGTTGCCTAAAAAGAAAATTTAAAATAAAAAAAGAACAATAACAAGAGCGTCAGAGCGTTATAGAAAGATCAACAAGATCACCTCTATTCGCCCCCAGGGGAAGGGCTGTTAGATGAAGTGGATGCTCATCTATTAAGTATAGTCTACCTAGATTATTTTCCTGTATCTAATAGAATTAATATTTAGGCACCTACAATACAAGACATAGTACGTCGAGCGAAATAATCCAAACAAGGTAACCCTCATGTATATACCATTTGTCTCAAATTATAAGAACCTAAACGTTAACACTGAACTAGAGATAAACAATCTAAATAAAATCAATAATTAGAAACCCACAACACGAGAGTGGTACATCGAGCAAAATAATCCAAACAAGAAAACCCTCATGTATATACCATATGTCTCAAATTGTGAATCGCTAATCATTGATCCCAACCTAAAAATAAAATAAAGCAATACTAAAAGTAGAGACATTCATAATATCGTATTTATAATATTTTCTACTATCACTGGGAAGATAAAATAAATATCAGTATATAATCCCGCGTACTTTCAAGAGCAAAGTACCTCAGTCAGAAAAGAGTCATACACATAACTATCATCTGCCAAAGACTCAGGCTATCCACAATCGTCACATTATAAATCCTTGCAAGTTATGATTCATCACATCATCATACAGGACAGACTACCAAGTCGGTATCCTGACTATGTATACGGTTCATTAGTCTCATCGCATCTCTGTATGTAACACGAGTGCGGGATGGACTACCAAATATGCATCCTAAAAATACGTCTCACAAGCCTTATGAGTAAGGTTTGGAGGGAGATGATCTTGCCTCAACACGTGCAACAACTCCTGGACACGTTTTCAAGATCTCCTCTTCAACCGAAAGCCCACGATCTCGTTCTCCGCTCGATGAACGTCTTGACTATCCTTGAGAAACACCAAAAACTAGATCTAAGGTTTGAGGGGAGATGGTGGCTGTGAACTCACGTGAAAAGTGTAGGAATAGGGTTTAAAACATGTATGTATACACATAGCTGGGCCCAGAACTGACTCGAAACCCAATAAGAATCTGGAAATCAGCCCGACTAGTTGACTAATACCCTTACTAGTTGACTAATGGTCTTAGTAGTCGACTACTAAGCTTAATAGTAGACTACTAAGAGCACAAATTCAGCTTATGCATGTTTCATGCATGATTCTCTTCTATACTCATATATATACATTGATTTGATCTCAAATCAAATCCTAACATACTCAAACATCAAAATATATTATTTATAACCATATAACATATTTATTATTATTTATCACCATATATTCAAATTTACGGGATTTTACATTCTTCTCCCCTTAAAAGAATTTCATCCCCGAAATTCTGTAATCTTATCTTGGAGATTAATAATACTATAAAAGCACGTTGAGGGGATAATCCAGACAAAGAAACCCTCACATACACATCTCATTCCATTAATCTCCAAATATGAAATATAGAAATATCTACACTTAATAATCTAGAATGCATATACTCCCACTTACCTCCTAACTAAGCGGAACTAGTACGTCGGGCGAAAAATCTAAACAAGGAACCCCTATATATATATACCATGTGTGCCGAATGATTAGAAGCTAAGTGTTAATACTCCTATTCTAATGTTAAATATAAATATGACCATATCGTTAATCATGAGCACCAATCAAAATCAATCAATTTACTTACCCAAACAGGTGCGGTTAGTTGCGACGCATAACATCTTCGCGCTCCCCATAATCTTCCTCAATATCTATACTTAACAATGTAGAATGCAAATACTCCCACTTAACCCCTAACTAAGTGGAACTAGTACGTCGATCAAAAAGTTCAAATAGGGAACCCACATATATATACCATGTGTTCCGAATGATTAGGAGCTAAGTGTTAATACCACCATTCTAGTGTTAAGTATAAATATGACCATATAGATAATCATAAACATAAGCAAGTCATAATCAAATTAATTTACCTGCTCAAACAGGTGTGGGTAGTCGTGACGTATATACTCTTCGCGCTCCTAAGAAGCCTCCTTAGCTCCTTTCCGGTTCCATTGAACTTTGACTAAAGGTATTACTTTGTTTCTAAACTTCTTGTCCTCCTTGGTAAGAATACAAATAAGAATTTCAGTAGTGGTCAAATCATCATGAATCTCAATCTCTGGTGCGTCTAACACTAGCTGCTGCTCCTCGTCGCGTAGATGCTTCTTAAGCATCGAAACATGGAAGACATCGTGCATACTTGACATCGATGTTGGAAGATCTAGCTGATACAAAACGGCTCTAATGCGCTCAACTATCCAGAACAGACCAATGTATCTCGGGGAAAGATTTCTCCATCTACTAAATTGCTGAACTCCCTTCATTGGTGATACTTTCAACAATACATAATCCCTAACTTGGAACTCTAATGATCGTCGTCTCTGATCTTTGAAACTCTTTTGATGACTCTGTGCTGCAAGAATGCGCTCCTAAATTATTGCTACCTTCTCTATAGTTTGTCTCACGAGCTCTGGCCTGAGTAGTAAGCTGTCATTTGGTTCTGCTAAAAAAATAGGCTATCTACAAGTTCTCCCGTATAATACCTCATATGATGCCATGCCAATAGTCGCTTGATAACTATTGTTATAAGCAAACTCAATCAGTGGAATATGGTCCTCTTAGCTGCCCTGGAAAGCTATGACACATACCCGTAACATGTCCTCTAACACTTGGTTGACTCTCTCCGTTTGTCCATCTGTCTGTGGGTGGAAAATACTAGAATATGACAACTAACTACCGAAAGAATTCTGGAAGCTCCTTTAGAAATATGAAGTGAAAACTGAGCATTAACCTGATACAATCGTCTCTAGAACTTCATGCAATCTCACTATCTCCTAGATGAATATCCTCACATAAGTCTCCGCCGTGTAAGTCATCTTCACTGGTATGAAGTATGCTGACTTTGTCAACTGATCAACTATCACCCAAACCGAATCGTTCCCCTTCTTCAATTTCGACAATCCTACAATGAAGTCCATAGAATTATCTGCTTACTTCCACTCCAGAATGGGTAAAAGCTGTAGGATTCCTGGTCTCTGATATTTTACCTTCACTTGCTGGCAGATAAAACATTTAGCCACATATTCTGCAATATCCTACGCATGCCGCTCCACCAAAAGTATCTCTTCAGGTCCTTGTACATTTTAGTTATGCCTGTATGTACTATTTACCTGGTACGATGCGCCTCATTAAATAAGTCTTTCTTCAGCTGTGGATTACTTGGCATCACTAATCGGCTCTTCATTTGAAGTCCTCCATCTGCTCTAACGGTCCAATTAGCCTTTGGCTTTTTGGAAATCTCCTCCTTTCAGGTTTGAATCCAAGAGTCCTCTAGCTGAGCTCTGACCACCCTATTAGTCTAAGATGGTTGAACGGCTAAAGTTCCTAAAAATGCGCTACTCCTGCCTATCTCTGGCATCAAATCGAATTGGCTAAGGGTACGAAGATCTCGATATAATGAACATCTCAAAGCTAAAATCTGATTGTGATGCTTCCTGCTTAACGTGTCCGTTACGATGTTCGCCTTCCCCGGATGGTACTGAATTGTGAACTCATAATTCTTGATGAGCTCGACCCGTCGCCGTTGTCTCTGGTTGAGTTACTTTTGAGAAAAGAGATACTTCAGGTTCTGGTGGTCTGTGAACAGCTCAAACTGTACCCCATAGAGGTAATGCCTCCACGTCTTCAAGGCGAAGACCACTGCTGCTAACTCCAAGTCATGTGTGGAATAGTTTTGCTCATGAGTCCTTAACTGCCATGAAATATAATCCACTACTCTCTGGGTCTGCATCAAAATACCTCCTAGAACCGATAACGATGCATCCGTATAGGCGACAAATGTCTTATCATTGCTCAGGATGATCAATATCGGCGCTGTAGTCAACTTAGCCTTCAAAGTCTAAAAGGCTTCTTAGCATTTTGTGCCCTAAACAAACTATACACCCTGCTTCATAAGGCATGTAAGTGGCATCGCAATGTCTGAGAAATCCTGAATGAACTTCTTATAATAGCTTGCCAAACCTAAGAAACCACGAATCTCTAAAATGATCTTCAGCGGCTCCCAATCAAGTACTGCCTCCACCTTCGCTGGGTCTACAACAATACCCTCCTTGCTAATGACGTGACCCAAAAATCTAACTTCAGAAAGCCAAAACTCGTACTTGCTAAACTTAGCGTATAACTGATGCTTTTGTAATGTTTGCAATGCCAATCGAAGATGTTGCTCGTGCTCTGCCTCCAATCTCGAATAGATAAGAATATCGTCGATGAATACGATCACGAATTTGTCCAAATATCAATGAAAAACCCAGTTCATCAAATCCATGAATTTAGCGGGTGCATTAGTCAACCCAAATGACATGATAAGAAACTCGAAGGATCTATATCGAGTCAGAAAAGCGGTCTTGGGAATATCTATCTCCCGAACTCGCAACTGATAATAGCCAGAACGAAGATCAATCTTAGAGAAATGTTACGCTCCCTGCAGTTGGTCGAACAAGTCATCAATCCTCGATAGTGGATACCTATTCCGGATAGTGACCTTGTTCAACTCACGATAATCTATACATAGGCACATACTATCGTCCTTCTTCACGAAAAGAACCGGTACTCCCTACTGAGAATGACTCCGGTGAATAAAACCCTAAGATAAAAGCTCATCTAGCTGAGTCTATAGCTCCCTCATCTAAGCAGGTGCCATACGATAGGGTGCTTAGGATATCGGTGTTGTGCCTGGCTACAACTCAATGTAGAACTCAACCTCTCTTACAGGAGGTAACCCAGGTATGTTCTGAAAGACATCCTGATAATCTAAGATGACTTTAGTCTCACACAAATTAGCACTCTGATCCCTTAGCATCACCTCCTAGATGTACGCTAGAAATGACTCCACAAACTAGTTGTCCTGTGAGGTCGCTACGATTAACTCAGACCCATCGGACGCTCGTAAGCTAACTGTTCTAGCAAAACAGTCGATACTGACTGGTAAGATGATAGTCAATCTGTACTAAGAATGATTTAAAAATCCGACATCTGCAAAATGATTAGATCAATGATAAACTCTGACTTATCTAGACTGATGACATATTTCCTACAAATACTCTCTAATAGGAATACATCCCATAAAGAAGTAGAGACGGATAATGGTACATCTAAAAGATATGCTACTGATAATCACATTTTATTACAGTTTTATACCCTCATTATCTATTTTATATGAATAAATATACCACTAATAACTATTTTTATGTTTAATTGCAGGTTAATGAATAATAAATCTCAAACTCCAATCTCTCAACAAAAAGCCCTTGATTTAATGAAGAAATGAAGCCCATGAAGCCAATGAATTCTTTCAAATATTTAATGAAGAAATAAATCAAAGCCCAATGGAAATTCAAGAGAAAATGCCAAGCCCAAAAGTCCAAGCAAAAGCCCAAAATCCAAGCCCAAAAGCCAATGGAAGAAGAATTCGGCAGACAGCAAAAGGAGAGAAGCTGACATCGATGCCAGCATCGATAGGGGTATCGATGCAGGCATCGATGCCTGTATGGGCTCAAGACAAATCCAATGGCTCATATTCATTGAAGATTACTATAAATAGGGGTAGAGAGTGAGGGGTTAGAGGTGTGAAAATTTTGTAAACTCCTTTTGGAGAGGAGGGCTACTCTTAATTGAGAAGGCCTTCCAAAAATTGTAACTTTAGTTGTAATTAATAATAATAATTTTTCCCTCTTTAAATTTGTTCTTTCTCCTCTTTGTTGAATGATGAGGATGGAGTTGAAGAGCAGATTGAAGGTTTGCATTTCTTTTCTCTTTTATTTCTTTTTAGTAATTTCTTTATTATTGCTTATTAGTTAGATTTAAATTCATGCTTGTAGTGTAGATTTATTTTCTTGTCTTTTTTATTTCTTTTTGCACTTTAATTTGTAGAGTAGATTTATTTTTCTCGTATTTAATTTCTGCAATTTATTTTGTATTTTAGATTTTTATTTTTCTTTGTAATTAGATTTATTTCTTGTTTATAGTTTAGATTTTTCTTTTCTTTTTATTTTTGTAATTAGTTCTTTTTCTTGTTTTTATTTCTTAAAGATGTGAATTTAATTCTTGTAGGAAGTTTAGAATAATATGAAACTAGTCTAATTTTCTTTATATTGTATGAATTATTCTCTTGCACTTAAAATATTCATGTTTAGGATAATCAACTAGAGAACTAATCAGTAGAAGAAGAATTTGATAATCTATGCTTATCTTAAATGGTTTGATAGGTTATGCTTATGAATTCTAGGATTATTATCATATTGTTGTTCTTTTTAAATGAATAGTAATTTTTACTTAGTTGATAATTTGATAGGTTACACTTTCCTTAAATGGTTTGATAATCTATGCTTAATAAATCTAAGTTGAAATATGATAAAAAGAGAATAGTTTATATTTTGTAATTGAATTTGGTTAGTGGATTATATTCTAGATTTCTTCTCTCTTTTAAATCCTCCATCTTCACTTTCTTAAATTTTCTTTTCATTCTTGGTTTATTTCTTGATTTTATTCATTCTTCTTTCTTGCCTTGTGATTTCATTTATTCTTTGATTCTTTCTTCTCTAAAATTCAATTTATTATCTCTTGCACATAAATCAAAACAACCACTCATCACAATCACACTTATTTTTTATTCCTAATTGTCACGCACAAAACATAAGAACCATTTCTAATAATCTCTTAAAATCACCTTCCTCGTGGGATCGATATTTTTATACTATAACTTGATCAATTGTGCACTTACAATTTTGGGACATAATTATGCCGCATCAGCTACCGACTGGAATCTATCCATAAAGGTATGAGAGATAAAAGAATGCGAAGCTCCTAAATCGAGCAAGATCCAAGCTGGAAAGGAATTTACTAAGAAAGTATCTTCCACTATGGCTCCACACGCACCGTGATCACACGGTACGATTGCATAAACTCTGTCGATGACTGGCGACTGCTGTGCTACTGGCGGTGGAATCTATGGGACTACCCGTCCCTCAGGAATCTCCTGGATAATACAAGTCTGGCCTGCTAGCCCCTAAATCTCAGAACGGTCGGTGGCACTTCAATCCTCTGCTGCTGGCCGTAACTTTGGCCCTGAGACTGCTGACCCTAACCGCGATTCTGCTACTGACTGTGTCCTCGACCCTACTACTGGCCCTGGCCTCTGCCATGCTAGTCTCCTGTAGGTGCACTATGACAATCTTTGGCCATATGTCCGATCTTGTTGCAGTTGTAACACGTACCCTGAATCCTGCGCTGCTGCGACACTCTCGAATCATGTTGTGACCCCTTCTTA